GACAAATGTATAAGGAATGCATTTAAATTATGTAAGGAGTATGTTGCTTGAAGAAGGCATGTGTGCCCTTTATATGTTGATAATACCACATTGTTGGCTGAGAATCCAAATAACTTCCAGTGAATGTAAATATATAAACAGTGCATAAATTTATCTGTGCAGTAAGCAGCCTTTGCTTATTTGATACCAGCTCTTTTTTTAAGAAAAAAAGTTTGAACAATATTTTTTCTCACTTTCTAGTCATTATATGGACTGGAAATAATTCTACTAATTTTGCTGAAAAATCATTTTAGATTAGGGTTTCATGCTGCAGATCTACGCACTTTTATATAAAATTAAGCACAACATTATAGCTCTAATCCAGGAATTTCCTTCCATTCCACGAATTCTAATATCTGATACATCCCTTTCCTGAATGCACAGGATTTTCACCTGCCCTTCCAGTAGTAAGGAAGCACCACATGGGTCTGAATATTATGAATGAAAAATGATAGCTGTATCAGTAACAACCCTTGGTTTTTATAATGCTCAGTTCTAAATTTATTAGGTATGTGTGTGTGTGTAGATACAGTTCAACCAAGGTAAATATATATTGGATTAGAAAGGCTTAAGGCACAAATTTGCATAAGATAAAGTAGATTCCATAAAATTAGTATGTTCATATGTATTCAACATTCTATTACCTCTCAATGTAAGAAACATTATAAAAAGCACAGAAAAGAACAAATAAAATAAAATAAAATAAAAGGCATATGATAAGAAATTAAGCCATATGTTAAGAAAATACAGCCAAACCTGATTTATACCAACACCATGTTATATCTCCCAAACCATTCTTGCTTCCATATACATGTATTCACTTTAGATTGCCTTTTGTTCTCTAAAGTTCTTTTTGTTGAACCTCATCTTCAATTTCAACTTCATCTAACTGTGATTATCTATTTTTTTTCTTTTAGCCCACTACTCACTCTTCATTTGCTTTGCAGTTTGATCATCATCCTTTCCCTCTACTTAACAAGCCATCTTCACATACTTCTTTCATATGTTCATACTTTTGTGCAGTGCTTTCTTTCTAAAAAAAAAAAAAAAGGTGTTGGAACTCACACACGTCATACAACCTGCCTTGCCTACCCTACAAGGTTCCATCCAAAAAAGGTGCCGTAACTCCGTTCTGGGCATTCTATGAGAAAAAAAGCCCTGCTTTTGTGTACAATCCACATTCATCCATTATCTTCACTGTTCTTTAACCATAGACGTTTTAAGTAAACCATTTTAAGTACATTCAACTTTCTTTTATGCTTCTTCCAACATATTCAGATCTAATTTTCATACAATGTAACAGTGTTTTTCAACCTCAGCAGCTTTAAGAATTACTGTAGGCCAGCTGATGTATTCTAGGAGTTGAAGGAAGCACCACATGGGTCTGAATATTATGAATCTTAGAATTGAAATCCTAGATCTTAGAACAGGGGTCTTCAAACTTGGCCCTTTTATGACTTGTGGACTTCAACTTCCAGAATTCCTCAACCAGCATGGCTGGCTGAGGAATTCTAGGAGTTGAAGTCCACATGCCATAAAAGGGCCAAGTTTGAAGACCCCTGTCTTAGAGTAACCAAGGTTGAGAAACACTGATATACTAAAATGAGAAGCACATTCTTATTCACAGCCATTATCTATTCCTTTATTTAACATTTTTCCTTGTACCAAACACATATTATCCACTATCTCTACTAGCATTTGCATGTCTTAACATTTCTCCAGCTTCTCCCCATTTTTCGTACATACTGTATAGAAATATACTAATTCACGTTTATGTGTAACTTGCCATCATTCTCGCCATCTTCCCTGTCAAACACAATTATCTTGGGCTTTGTTATCTTAATTTTCAGATCCATAGTCCTTGACATATCAGACAATACATCTAACATTCATTGCAAAAGCATTCAGGTTTTCAGCCAAGATTCAACATTGTTTGGACACAAAAGTACACAATTATTCACATGCCTAGCCAACAGACCTTTAATATCATGACAAGTATTCCTTATACATTAAGGAATTATAACCACCAAGGGGAAATAAGACATCCTTGTCTTACGCTCTGTTCAATGTTGAATTATTAAGATGCCTTTATTATTGTGCATGTTTTACTTCCATCATACAATATGTCACATTCAGCATCCATCAACAGCTTTAACTCCCTATTCATGCAAACCATTTCTGAATTCCATTATATTCATTTTATCATATAGTTTTTCTAAATCAGCAAACATGCAGTAAACTTTCTCACGCTAAGACATTTTATCAAAAACAAATTTACTAATTTCTCCATATAGTAGTCTTTATTTTCATAATTGCTCTTTTTCTTTGTATAATGAAACAATAACAACATTTTCTAGTTGTCAGGCAAGACGGAATCTTCACAAACCACACTGGATAAGTGACACAATGATTCCATAAGCAAAATGCATCTGTATTTTGAGTTTTCTCCAGTTAGCAGTATATTGTTTAAGAATATTCAAAACTGTTCCTGGGTCAAAATTGCCAGTATAGTTCAATCTTAGTCACTAAACTGAATAGGTTCATTGGCACTTAGCATTTTATTTGCTGTGAAAAACCAAAACACTTATTTTCCCAGTAGAAAATCTTTGTTTTTTCCATGCCCTTCTGATCTTAAAAACTTAGCTTAATCAGTACATATACTTCATGAATTTACATTAAAGATAAATATATGAACATTTTATATGTGAAACATTTGTATCTTTTCTCAGTAATCCCCATGTATCTGAATCATAAATCAATTGGACTGCAATGCTGAGGTTTTAGTTACTAAATCAACTAAAATACTCTAGGTCCATATTTAAGACGCAAAAGTGTATCTGGAGCTCCAGAAGAAAAAGCAGGCAGAATGGGGGGGAAAAAATAGAGGAGAAAAATAAGATCTAGTATTCCCATAGGCTTTAATTTCTCTGCTCCTGCTAAACTATTCCTACATGGACCTGCCTGCCCTTTTATTCAATAGCAAAGAACATTTACTCTAACCCTCACAACATGTGTTCCGGCACATTCCAAATGAAAGCATTCATATCCTACAAGTATATTTCTGCCCACAATATATCTGATATCCACTTTCAGATTTATAATGATAATCCTATCCTATGATAATCTGATTATAAACTTGTCTTATACTCAATTCATGGCAATTTGGATCACTGGACCTCCAGTCTTTTCTGAATAAAACTAGCTGCTTCCAATTAAAGCTCTGTATATGAAGTTTTTGAATACTGGTTCACAGACTTTAAAATGTTATCTGGTTGAAATGCTCAATTTTAGGTGTTCGTAATAAAAGCAGAACAAGAGAGTTTGACCTTTCTACTTCTCCATTTGAAATAAAACTGCTAAAAGATGCTCAACATTTCTTTTAAATAGTGTCTCTTTGTTCCTGACCTTACTGGGTTTATTTTCAAACTGACCTCTCCATGATATTTTACAGTGAAGGAGTAAGGCACCAAATCTCCTTCATTTGTTGGTGTTCCAGTTATAGTAATAAATTTATAAATGTATATCCTACCTTTTCCTTGAATTTCCTGAATTTTCTAAAGTGTCTCACATTAAATTCATCACTAAAAAGTTAGCTATATAAAATCCAGAACTATATCATATTCATACAATGAAAAGCAAGTGATGAATGCAGCATCACAGTCAATTCACAGATAAAATATTTACTAAGAAGTGGAAAAATGAAAAGATCTTTCTCCATTTTGGAAAAAGAATTCAAAATTCAACCAAGGAATGAGTTAGATGCCAAGGATCTCTTCCTGGTTATTACCTGACACATCTAAGGAGCAAAACATCTAGAAAATAGTTGAATTATCAAGTTCAATTCATTAGAAAAGTGAGATGGAATAAATTAAACGATCATTTAAGCCATCTATTAAATAGGGACATATTTGAAACCAGTGATGTGCAATGCTTTTCATAACATTGAACTAACATATGCTAGTCATGAGAAATATTTGAAAACTGCTCTGTCTATTTAGAGAATTTTCATTTAAGCAAGTTGGAACACAAAACTTTATATCATAAAAATTAAGCACTGGTCAATATTTCTTCCTTTAAAGGAGCCCATGAAGCCACAGAACTGCATTTTTCAGATCCCTTTTTCAGCCAGACAAATTGATCTGAACATGCATGTATAGTAGAGTACCCAAGACACTCAAGTAAGAACTCAAGGAAACAAAACATTCAAAATAAGATGAACTTAAGAGAGCCATCCTATATGTCTATCTAGAATACGTTCTCTTTGATTCAATGGGACACATCTCCAAAAAGACAGCTCTATCATTACTGTGTTAGATCAGAATTATATTTGAGGGTTTAAAATAAGAAAGTTAAATGATAAAAGTAATAATGTACAGAAGCCAATAGTTCCATTCCACCCTTTGCTCCTTGGTGGCAAATATCTACCTATCCTCCAAAAACATAATTACTGGACCACCCAAGAAAGTCACCTACAAGAGTAATTTCTTACAACCATATTCAGTTCTACTAGCTTGTTCTCCTCTCCCTATAGACAATATGGCAGTGACAGCAGAGCCTGTGCACCCAATCCCAATTCTTGCAAGATTCAGCAAGAGTAGATATAATTAGCAGCTACTCCCTGAATTTTTCCCCAGGCAACACAACACTATTCACACAGCCTGGTCTCAGCTGCAGTAACAAGGAAGGGGGAGGAGAGATAGAGACTCTACAATCAAGTAAGTGGTGGCCCTCACACAGCACAGTCACTTGTAGCACTCCATTTTTCAATTATCTAGCTGGATCACTGCAAGAAATATGAACTGCCATTTCTTATCCTTCTAACTCTTCTATTTTAGGGAATAATCTAGATGGTGGGGAGGAGTGATTTCTGATCAATGTTGTCAAGGGCACCTCAAAGAAAGAAACCATTCTAATTCATCAAATAGTGTCAAACAAAAACACAACTGCCTTCAAACAAAAAAAATGTAACTTTTATTTCTACATATATAACCTGTAAACATTTGCTAATATTTATTGTATTCAAAAGAATATCTCCTTTTCGTCCCCCACCAGATTTCTTCTCCAAATGTTCTTTCCAGCCTCCTTATAGTTGTCCCAATTCGGCTGGTTTAAAGTCTTCCTGAGAAGCTATGGACTCTGCTTTGCTGGGTCCCAGGGAATGTTCAGAGTTGGTGCGGGTGCCAGAGGCTTCTGGATCGCCTTCTACAACTGCAACACCATCTTTTGTAGGCTGGGAACCGTTGGAAGAGCAGTTCTTGAAGCATGCCTGGAAGACCTGAAACGAGGCCATGACCATAATCAGAAGAATCACCACCACCACCGTGATCAGGATGAAGATATAGTTGGAGACGTTTGAAGAAGCCAAATGCTTGGTGGTTCTGTTGTCGATCGGAGTAGTAAATGATTCCAGAAACGATATATTTTGACCAGGCCCGGCGGTGCTATTCGCAGGGAAAGTTCCCGTAGCCCTCGGAGTAGAAACGGCGGGCTTCACCGTCGTTGCGCCATCTCTGGCTGGCGCGACGCAACTCTCTTCGTCTGCCGCCAAGCGGGATCTCCAAGCGCATAAACAACGGAACGCGCCTTGGGCACTAAAGCAGTCCGAAAATACCGCGCAGCCTCCGCTGCTCGGACTCCAGTAGCCGCTGGGGCAGGAGCACAGGTCCTGCTCGGTGCCTTCCCAATGGGAGCCGTTCGGCGACAGGCGGCAAGTGAAACGCGCCTCTCGCCCGGGGCACCCTATAGTAAGCTCGGTGCCGGGAGGGCTGAATTCCGCGGCCGGGCTTTGAAGTTGAAAAGGCAGCCTGTAGACCATTCCCAGCGCCCCAGAGTGGAGGATGGGGCACGTTCCCGCGTAGCTGTATTTACAGATATAACCAGGGCTCGCCTTGGTGCATCCGTGGTCCTTCAGGCCCCACGGTTTCAGGTGCGGTTGGCCCAAGCTGACTTGCAGCCCAGCGCATCTCTGCATAGTGCAGGACTTGCTCGGTTCTCTGAGCCAATTGGGCGGCGTGGCGGTCCCGTTCGCCCCCGGCTCGTGAAGCCCCGGGGAGATCCAGGAGAACCCCCTGAGCGGCAGGTCTTGAAGGGTGCACTGCTGGGGTTTCTTAACCAGGCCCAGCCAAAACAAAGAGCCGCCCGTCTCGCTGGCAAGGCCTTTCAGCAGAGCTAGGATGACCCCGATTTCGGTGCGGCCGCTGGCCGTGCTCAGACCTCCCCCGTGCTGAGCGCAAGCATTCTGAGCCTGGTAAAAGTTCATGCGGCCTAGGTGGATGCTGTAGCAGGCCCCGGACGCCTGACACAAAGTGTGGCCGCTCTGAGGGAGCTCGCCAGAGGCCCAGAGGCCCAAGAAAGGCGGCAAGAGGGCGAGCGAGGCGAAGATCAGCCCTCGCATCTTGACTCTCGGCTCCACAATGGGAGCGGAAACAGGAATCAGGCGGGCAGCCTGGATTGAAGGATTGCAATGCGGAGGGAACTCCTTTTCCTTACACTTCGCAACCGTATCTGGACTCCCAGAGCCTTCCCTTCTAATTGCAGGAAGGAAATGTGTCAGGAGTTAGGCCTAAGCTTCACATCCTTGGTTTACTGAAGCGCCTGTTTCCAGCCTGGAGAGTCTTTTCTTCTCCTGGCAAGGGGCTGGAAAAGTGCTTGTATTAAAGAGAATATTGGAAAGAAAAACCAGCATTTTAAAGTACAGTATTCTTTGGCTAAACTAGAGCTTTGACTTATTTCATCCATCCATACTAATAAAGATAATCCGGCTGCCTAAACAAATTTCTTTAGCTTTAAATATTTTGCCTGTGCCAGACTAGGCTAGATGATCTCCCACATCCCATAAGGCAATAATCCTTCCAGTTGTGCTTTGGCTAGGTATATGTAAGTTAGGTTTATTCAGTTTTGTAAAACTTTAGGAGCAGTATCAAGACATTAATTTATAATTTTGGAATCAACAATCTGGATTAGGACTAATTATATGTGAAGCCATTGGACGGTTTTGATTAATTCACAAGATCATTCTGAGAAAAAAAAACATATTTCTGTGTCGCGAGGGTAGGAGTTGGATAATATATAAAACCTAAAGTCACTGATTAAGGTCATTTTTCCCATTAGAGACTTGTAGCATTTTCATTGCTGTAATTTTGTCAGTGTCAGTTTTGTCTTGAAGATACTATAAGTCACAACTAGGGAAATAACGTAAAATTAGCACAATTAGAAAACACTACAATTAACCAGTAAGTCTGATACACTTCAAAACAGATGTGGTTTATCAGATTTTTTTTATAGATATTTAGAAATTGTGAAGATCTTATATCAGACACTGACTATAAGTAATTCTCATTTAACAACTCTCTTGTTTAATGGCTGTTTGCAGTTATGACAGTGATGAAAAAATAACTTTACAACCAATCCTCACATTTACAACTTTCACAGGTCTGTAAAGCAAAGGAAACCTGAAGTACAATCATAAGCACAGTGTGATTTCACTTACCCGCTTGTTCGCTTAATGACTTAGGTGCTGGTCCCAATTGTTGCTAAATAAGGACTACCTGTATGTGACTAGAACTTCAATATGTCATTCCCTCCCAGCTGCCATATTCTATAGCTAGATGTGTAGATTTCAACATCCAGAATTCCCCGTACAAATACTTATATTACCTTTATGCTATAAGCCAGCTATTTGAAAATTGCCTAAAAATCAATGTGGAAATACTGTAAATACATTTAAGCAACACTTAAGTTTATTTTTGTTGCAACAGGTATTGTAAGCATTCCTCCAGTAACTAGGTCTTGATAGTTTAGCTTTTTAAAAATTGGCTACTGGATAAAATTCTTAAAGATTTTTTTTTAAAATGTATCTCAGAAATTGGATATTCTATAGATTAACAAAGGGTTTTACTAATTAAGAATGAATATTAAGTATTGATTTATAATCCTGTCCTTTCTCACCTTGTCCCAGTTTGGTATTTGCCCTGAAAGTAAAAAAAAATGTAGTTATTGGGAAATCTTTGTCTCTTATAGCTCTGTATCCTGTTAACTCCCACAGCCATGCTGCTTGATATAACATGCCAAATTTATCCATTTCGTAATGCTGTGCTTAAGCCCAAAATGGAAGCAGGTCTTTAATTTTAAGCCCTAGTATTAACACAAAGTGAATTAATGTCACTGTAATTCATCAGCCTGACTTCCTTGAAATTAGTGGAAATAGTTATAGTTGTGCTGCTCCAGTGGAACCAGCATTTCACTAAATGATTGAAATCTTGAGCTTCTTCATAATGTGAAATGTTTCAGATCCCACACAAATTAGGACCAATGTAGAGAAGCCTTTGAGGGCTAGAACCGATGCCTCATATATTATGAAAATACTTTTCTTCTTGGTAATGTGCCATCAAATCTGTGAAGTAGATTTCCCAGGCCAAATCACTGTATAATAATAATAATAATAATAATAATAATAATAATAATAATAATAATAATAATAATAATAATAATAATAATAATAATATAGTAATAATAAATCCTTTGTTACAATTACCTTGCTGAAACAAATCCAGCAAAATCTAGTACAGCATTTTTATTTTAAAAATATTATTGTTTTGTGCATTCATAGGTTCTATTTAACCTTGACTTATATAAAAAGCAGTTCCACTTCATTTTTGTAGCAAATAAATCTATGCTACTTGAATTTGTCAGTTCATTTTTATTGTTAACTAAGCAAGCATTTTTATTTGTTTTGTAAAAAAATGCACTTGTAGATATAGACCTTGCTCACACACTGCATTAAATTATATTTTATTTATCCGTGGTTTAGTGAATCAGCTTCAAATGGCTGTATTTATGTAACACTCTGAACTGTACACCATGCTTTACAAGCTGTAGTGGTTGGGTTCATGCTGTTCATTAAGCAAAAATCAATCAAACCCATGCTTTGATATGATTTGTGAATCCAGCCATTGTATTATAAAATAAGAGGGAGAATCACTTTTCCATACTGTTTACAATTTTATACGCCCCCTAACGTTCTCCTTAGATGCTTGTTTTATGAACTGAAAATCCAATTATTCTTTGTGAGACAGTGTACCAATATTTTGTTAGATACAAGGATATAAACAATTGTTAAGTTTTGATGTTCATAGCCAAGATCACATTTTTCTTCCAGACATGATACCCATTCTCAGCCCTCAAACTGTTATATTTTCCCACTAGGGAAATATAGTTCTCCCTTCAGCTGTGATTGATAATTAGAATGCAATTGTTTCTGTATCATGCATGTATTTTGATAGTCTCTGTGAAACACTACTGATAAAGTGGCAACACTCTCCTGCCAATATTAATTTTATTTTTATGTTATTTGTTTTTGGGGAAATTGAATTCCCCCTGCTATACCATACAGATATAGGAGTTTTCACAAAATTCAGTGCAAAAGAAAGAAAAGTAATAGTAGCAGCAACAATACTTTGATAATTCACAGAGATTCTTTTTATTGTTTTGCAAGGATACATGCTCAAAAGTACAGCAAATTGTTTAAAAAGATGTAAATGCACACACAGAAATTGTGTCCTACCCCACAACCTAATTACAGTACCAGCTGATATGACCAAGGAGCATATTGTAAAATGAGCCAATATTGCATCACTATGACAACAACATTCAAGGAGAAAGCTAGATTTCTAACTTTATATAAATTATGCAATATCAAGGACCCAAGTTACTGAATTGACAAATGGTGTAGAATGAAATATTATAATTTATCTTGGCTGCCCAAGCAACAATAAATTAAAATCTCTGGACAGTTCCAGAACATGTGTGGTGGCCAGGTTTCCTGAGGAAATTATTACAATAACAGGAAGTCTCAAGCCTAGCTATAAAGAGGTGACTTCAGTTCCTGGCATTTTGCCTAGACTGACCCTTCAACTCAACATCTTAAAGGAGGAGGCAGCAGGTGCCTGCTAACAAACAGCAAATGTAAAATTAAAATACAAGGAAGGGCATTTTTTTTTCATTCAAGGCCAGGAGATTATTGTGAAGCAAAGCCTATTCTTCATAGGATTCTGATAATATTTTCCCACCCCATTCCAGTTTAAATCCTACTTCAGTTTAGCCACTCCAAGCATCTAATGAAGTGAGCTATTGTTCATCAAAGCTTATGTCTTTTGATAAAATGTGTTAGTTTTAAAAGATTCTCCAATTCAACGGATACATTCTAAATGACTATTCATTTAAAGAAATAACTCTGCCCTATGTCCTATGCTCGTTAAATTCTAAAGCCAACTTCTGCCTGTATTCTCTGTTCCTGACTTGTCACCTGAAAATGACTGGCAGTCATACAGCTCTTACGAGTCAGCTATTTGGTATTGATACCAAATTTAAAGCAATTTTATTTGGGCTATCAAAATCTAAATAATCACTTTTTCTTCTTGTCCAGTTACTTCCAACTTTCTCTGACTCATTGGATATCATTTCACCAGGACTCTTTGTCAATATGTGCTTTTTTGAGTTCTTGTATGACATCAGTGGCATTTTGTTAGCCCTTGATTTTTCCCAACATCAAGTTCATTTTCAGTGACTGTTGCTTTCATGTTAGGTGTCCAAAATATTTGTTTTAGCTATATTAGTAGTGGTTCCAGTGAGCTATCTAAAAGTACCGATTCCAGTATCCAAGTTTATCCAATAAATTTTGTCTATGTTTTTCCTTTTCAAAAGACTACACTGGACAAGAAGTGCTTCCTATAAGATACACCCAAAAGTGTTCATGAAGCAAAATCTTTGTTGCCCACTAATGACCATTAAGTGGCAACAAACAGACTGCATCTCTTGGCTGCAATATGGAGGCCACCTGGATTAGTGTTGCTGATGCATAAGTATTCTTCGTGTTTTGATATGAGAGATATAGTTTATGGGATTCATTTAATTTTTCCACATAATTTTCCCCACATGATTATCAATTATTGACTAGTCAGCCTTTTTACCACTAGTTGACAGTACAGAGTTATAAAGCTTTTTTAAAACCTCTTGGCTGCCATCTAATGTGTATGTATGCAAGTGAGATGTAGTTGTTGGCTAAAATCTATTCAAGAGTTGGAGTTTGAGAAAGGGGTTTGCAGAGTATGTGTGGGTGGATATGTTGATCTGTCCTTCAAAAAACAGTAAATAAAATAGCTACAGAAGCCAAGGTTCAGTTTCCATCACTGTCAGAGTAATGGTAAATCTAGAGGAAGGCCTGTCTACCCACCCCCACCTCGAATTCATATAGAAAGCTTCTCAGATCAATCATTCCACAGCATGGCACAAATAGATTTGGCATTCAAAAACAGGACTGGCCTTTTCAGCTTCTTTAGGTTGCATACTGTTGTTCAATGTAGCAATCACATTTAGGTTGTTTAGTCAACCTTTAGTTTCCCGCCTGGACTATTGCAATGCTCTCTACATGGGGCTCCCCTTGAGGTGCACCCGGAGGCTCCAGCTAGTTCAGAATGCGGCTGCGCAGGGGATTTTGGGGGCCTCTAGATGCTCCCATGTAACACCTCTCCTGCGCGAGCTGCACTGGCTGCCGGTGGCCTTCCGGGTGCGCTTCAAGGTGTTAGTAACAACTTNGGACCTGCGCCTTTTTCGCCGAGCCCTGAAGGCCCATCTATTCCGTGCGGCCGGCCTGGCGTAGTTTGATTATGTTTCAGTGGGGGTTTTTGTATGGGTGTGTTTTTAGAACAGGCCTGTTATTTAATTCGATTTTAGAACAGAAACTATTTATTTATTATCGTGGTTTTTAGTATCGCCTGTTCACCGCCCTGAGTCCTGTAAGGGAGATAGGGCGGTATATAAATTTAATAATAAATAAAAAACCTATCTGTAACAAAAAAGAAAGGTTGAGATTCAAGTCTTCACAGCCAGATCAGCACTGAAGACAGGCACAGAGCCCAGGAACCAGACAGAAGGCGGCAATTCTTCAGCAGACTGCTACATCAGGTAGAGCTGGACATTGCTGAGCATCCACCTCCTCTTTCATGCCCCTTTTCTAGGCTGTCTCCTTGGAATATCTTGGGCCAACATCACATAGAAAACACTACCTCCATTCTAAAACATCTAAGCTGTCTGAGGCACCATGTTGACCATGGGAGGGGGGGGAATATTGTAAGGGCATGTCCTAAGCATTTTGGCACCATAGGAGACTGTATAGATACAAAACAAACAGATTTTTTAAAAAATGACCAGATTTTAGGACAATGTTCCTCAACCTATTGTTTTGCAAAAGTGTTTGGATATACAGTATGAATAATTTCAAAACCAGAAAAAGATAGGCTAATGATTTGTATGAATCGTATTCATTTCTATAACATGATTGAAGATTTGTAGATTAGATAGATTAGATTAGATAGGCCATAGCCTATAGATTAGATAGGCCAGGGCTTTTTTTCAGCCGGAACGCGGCAGAACCGCGTTCCGGCACCTTTTTCCGGGCCGGCCGCACCGGAAATAGCCCCTCCCACACCGGAAATAGCCCCTCCCAAATTTTACTTGCATTCCTGTTCTCTAAAGGGGCGGTCCTAGGGTTTGATGAGGGCGTGGCCAGGTTTGAGTTCCGCCACCTTTTCTCCGAGAAAAAAAGCCCTGAGATAGGCCATAGTCTAACAGCCTAACATACAGATAAGACTACTGAAATGGAAGACCTTTAATGCATTTAACCTTATTTTGAATTATGGCAAACATCTAAAAACACACTACACATTTGATAGGTTTTTTTCTTTATTTAAATCAGTTGTAAAGCTACCTATCTTAAAACTCTGATAGGCTTACGACTTAAGAGTAAAACAATGTGTACACAACTAAAATCAAAAGAAAGAATAAAACCAAAAATAGAAAAATCAATCACACTTTTTGATGCAACCCATGCTATGACCTCAATCTATCCTGGAGCACAGCCAGGTCTTAAGTACTGTTCGGAAAGTGAAAAGATTACGGGGAGGGCTGTTGGATCTCAGGGAGAAGATTGTTCCATAGGGCCAGTTGCAACAAAGAAGGTACACCTCTGAGGACCCACAGAGTGACAATATTTAAAATAAAGACTTTGTATACATTTTATAAGATTATGCAAGAATTTAACTAGGAATCATCTTATTCTTCATAGTAAATGCAGTTCATGGTACAGTAAGTGCAATTATGTAATGGGCTCTTACTTGCTGGAGATTTTGGAACAAACTGCCAGATATTTTTTGATATACTATAATCTGGACTCTATGCTGAGCAGGGTATTGGATTGGATGATTTACCAAATTCATTCCAGCTTTGTAATTTTGTTTATATAAGCTGATTGAGACCCATTTCCAATATATTGACACAGAATTGACATATCAGAAGCAGTATACTGGAAGCTAGATAAAATATAACTACTTTTGTAACCAAAAGAATTCAAGAATAAAGCACATTTTCCTGAATAACGGTAAATTTCTATGGAACATTATTCCTAAATGATTAAACTATCAAATCAAACTAATAAGAAATATAAGCTGGGGACATACAAAGCAGTATATTCTTTAATAATCATTAATAAACCATTAATTTAAAACACTAATAATAGCTTTATATTCAAAAAGTTTGTTATTATGTGAATGTTCCAAGAACAGAGGATACAAAATGATTGCAATTTGATTGAATATGAGATAAAAAAAGCCAACATTTTCACATTATACAAAACATTGTGATGGAAAAATGTTTTGCACAACACCATTTTAATACATATACTTTATTTTATGGTACCATTTTTAAAGAGTTTTCTTTCTGTTTACTCCAATAATTACTTGCATTTTTACAAGGGCAATTTGTTTTTATAATACCAAGGTATTTTTTTTATTAGTAGTGGAATAAATAGATGTCTTATTTCTACTTGACTGTGGATAGATTTAGCTATTGTACTCACAAATTAATCAATTGGCTCCAAGACCTAACCATATCATCTACTAAGCATATCTGTTAACAGCAGGATAATTCTAATATTTAATTCAATGAAGTAAACATTAAGTATTAATTTTAATAAAATATTCTCTTTTAGTTAATTTAACTAATAATAATAGAACCATAGTAAAAACATGAAGGACAACAATGTCTTTAAGATTTCATTCAAATATTGCCATTCATTTGTCCACTGAAATATTTGGTAAAATCTCAACAGTATATTTAATTTATTTAAATATTTATATGCCATTGTGTATCTTCAAGTAGCTGCTAAAACATCTTACGGAATTGAATTGCAATAAAATGTTTTGTATTATTTTATTTTTTTAAAAAAATCAAACAGTATCAAATTGTGTATAAAAAAGAAGAACAAAAGAAGCTAAACTTTCCTTAATAATAAAATTCAGAATTTAGGATTGTTTATAATCCTCAACTCAGTTTCTGAAATGCACTTTACATGAAGGCACACAGAACAGAACCTCCACATTATAACCAGAGTTACCAGGTCCAGACTGCTACATATCCGGATGTTTGATACTGACCGCATTAAGTTAATGGTTTTCTTTATATTTTTATTGTCATCAAGTGATCTGGATCTTTGCATTGCAAATCTAGTAGCATTTCCTTAACTGGTGAGCAAGATCTTGGGAACCATAGGAAAAATATTCTAAAAGCCAAAACAAGTTGCACAACAATGAAATGATATGCTCTCAGTAAGAATTCACAGCCTGGTAGAGCTTTCTGAATTATATGCAGTTTCCAAATATTATTTAAAGGCAGCAGAAGAAATAAGTTGGAATGATCTATGTGGGCAGTTCATGTGTGATGAGAGTATGATTTGCATTTTCTAATAAGAGTCACCGGTGGCTCACTAGCTAAAGTCTTATAAAATCTGATTTTGTAGGAGAAAAGAGAAAAGCAACCAAACACTCCCAGGTTATATAATTTGATAGCTATTCTCAGAGTTGTTTTATTAGCAATAAAAGCATCTCCAGCTAAATGAAATATCCATCCCATGCTGGTTCAGGCTTTCAAATGTTACCTTGAAAGTTAATGCAAAGGGATTTAGTTGGATGTCATTGATACTGTAGTCCTTATTCAGGAGATCCATTCTTATGTAGAATTCAACACAGGAGGACAAATGATATTTTCTCCTTTTAAGTTGTACTGATGATATCAATGAAGAGCCAATCTCCATGGGTACAGCAAGACTGTACGGAATAAATGCCTTTGTGTACAAGGAGAGACTAGCATGCTAGGTCAAGTGGAAATGTTTGTATGCCTGCAAAAATTCCCTAATTGTAGACTATTGTGCTGCATTTATAGATGATGAGAGTTTAATAATCTCACATTGTGATTTTTTTCAACACAGTGAATCAGGTTATCTCCCAAAGTTAAAAGTGATAGTACTATATTTCAGATGCCCAAATCACATTTTCTAGCATTTTTATAACGATGTTAAGCACACAAGGGACCAAATCAGAACAGTGTGGAACATACTTCTCCCAGCAATAAATATTGGAATCTCCTATCCAGTTATGACCTAATTTAATATTAGTAATGCCTCTTATCCTCAGCCAGAATTCCATGGTTTGTGGCCCTGAAAACTAATGAGAGGTCCAACTGAATTCACGCAATACCCTGGTGTTAATCACCTGCTAAGACGCTGTCCATCACAGGTGCAAAACAGAAACTAGACTAAGCTTCTTATTTCAGCAGCTTGGCCTTTTAAAATTCACTTTAATAAGCAAATTCTTCCTAACATAATCTGTGAAATACAGAACTTACATCATACCTGAATTAATATTAATCCACAACATTATCAAATATGCATACTGCAATATGACTGCAAACCCCACACACACTAATGAGTAGCTGACTTATTAAGAATTAAAATATTGACATTTGTTAGTGGAGTTTTTATTTCATTATTCAAAATATGACTGTTCTACTTGGAATAATTATGCAAACATTCCTATACCCTTTTAAGTCCCATTTTCCAACATGTGAATAGACTTAGTAATTGAACTCCATTGGCTCAAGCTATTTGGTACAGAAAATTGCAGAACAAGAGAGGGTAGGGGGAAAATCTTGTGTTATGGGCATGTAAGGAGAGTCAGATTTGAAAATGGAGGAGCAGGGTTAGACGGGCTCTGATCTTGCAACCTAGGAGCCAGGTAATGCTCATATATCTGCAGATGAAGTTCAGAAGAAGCAAGATCTGTTGAGGATAAACCAATCCTCAGTTAATGGGCCACTTGAACAGGCTGAGTCACTTGAGCAGGAGAAAGACCTACAAGCCCTCACATCTTCAGAAAGATCAAAGGAACAGAACAGAAACGTTCAGTGAGACTCCTCAGAAAAAGAGGCATGCATGAATCAGTACTTTTGAAGTAGGGCTTGAGAGTCAGACTTCTGTTGGGAAACAGCTTTCTAGTTTTGGCTCAGGCTTTCTGAATGTGCTCCTGATTCTATGATTAACCTCTGGCCTGGTATGAGACTGCACTCTGCTCAGATTCACAAATTTTAGATTTGTTTGCACACGACCTCACCTACTGAAGTAAGCATGTTTGTTTTTCCTGAGCTCCTGCAACTCTGGCACTGCAGTGAGTTGTATAATCCACATTTTATCTAAGTCTGACCTTCTGCACTGGTAATTGCTGGAAAAGGACAGCTTGAAGGTTTTAAACTAAGAAAGAATAAATTAATAATACAAGGAACAGTGGTAGATTTTCTGCTTATTAAAGTTTAAATATGTTTCCCTTTGTTTTTAACTGTATCATAGATACAGCTATGCTATTATAAGTCTTGTTCTTGTATAAGCACATACTGGCTGGTCATCACTGGGCAACAGCTCATATTGTCAATGGATTCCATTATTTATTTTGAACATCTTAAGATTCTCTAAAGATTCCTCCTCATCTTTGGCAGCTGCATAATGTTCAAGAGCCCTGGTGGCGCAGTGGTTAGAATGCAGTATTGCAGGCTAACTCTGCCCATAGTCTGGAGTTCAATCCTGAAGGCTCAAGGTTGACTCAGCCTTCCATCCTTCCAAGATCAGTAAAATGAGGACACAGATTGCTGGGGACAATATGCTGACACTGTAAACCACCAAGAAAGCACTGTAAAGCACTATGGAGCAGTATATAAGTCTAAGTGCTGTTGCTATTGCTATTTTTGCTAGCCATTGTGTGTAGTCCCTACAAAATAAACACATAAATAACACGAAATAGTGTTCTCGCAACATTAACTTTTTCTACCTCCCATCCCAGCTTGCATGAAAAGATCCTTTCTGGGTTGTATCTTTTGTTGTTTTTGTTCTATACCTTCTTCGTTCTCCTGTTTTGTTTTTCCTTATATTTTTACTAATTACATGTTGTCATATATCTCTCCAAGGAATAAACCCATGATTCTTACTCAGTTCTAGGGAAATGTCACTATAACCATTTTTAGGCAAGTGGTTTACAAGCATGCAATTAACCTGTCATGTGTTTCCTCAGTAGTGCTGCCAAATTTGATAAATGAATTTGATGTCTTCTTGTGTGCCCATATGGACAACCTCTCCCTGGATATGGTCCAGAACAGATGTGTGCCTTTTCCCTTTAATAGAAAACTAGAACAAACAACACCCCATACTTTTCCCCCAAAAAATATCACGTACAGAGGCATTAGATTTCCAGGTGGCAGTTTCACACTTTCCTCTCCCCTCCCCCATGCCTATTTTGCAGAAAACCTTTTTTTCAAACATGGGTGTATCCTCTATTGCTCCTGACAATACAGTACATTTCTGGGATAACGTGGAACTGGATTTGTTTTAAAATGGTCTTACTTCTTGAAATTTTGCTCTACAATAAAATGCAACAATTCTATACAACTTTTTTTATGTTTGCAATTCTAAGAAGAACCAAATTGCATTAGTGCCGCTTGTTAGATTTCACCTGGACATCAGAAAAATAAGAAATATAGGAACAGAAAACCTCTGTAAAGACATGACCAGGCAGCCAATTATTACCTGGAAACTCTGAATGATGCTTGCACTAATGTGATGTCATCCAGATACCTCCCCTGTTGGCCAAAGATTTATGGGAGTTGAAGGCCACACCTTTGCAGAGAACCAGGTTGAGGATCATTATATATTCAAATTATTGTAACACATTTAAATGTAATTTGTGAAATAGTTCTAATTCGATCTATTCAAAAAAGTGGCACTGAAGCTGTAATGAGGGAAGGTCAAACCTGGAAGTTTCACAAATCACATCTAGTTATATAATTTTAGTTTTAAATTTCAGAAACATACCAAAACATCATTAACTGGACGAGTTATAAAAAAAATAAGTAAATTAGAAATACCATTTGATTATAAATCAAAAAGCTTAAAATATTGTTTTTTTTAAATAAATGTTCAAAACAAATATTTACTTGCCTGGAGAAATAAAAGTTTAATTTGAATGAATATGCCATAACAATGGCCTATCTCCTCTGAGAGAGAATTCTGGTGTCAGAATAAACAAATTACTCACATTTAAATAGTTTGTGTGGTAATCAGATGAAATAGTTCCTTGTGGAGCTAAAAGTGGTTCCAGATGAAAAGGATTTACTTGGTCATCTTTCTCTCAAAAGTTGATATTCAACTTTCTTGAATGCTGCCTTATCACATGTTTCTCTACAGTAATCCTGACTGTGTTTAATGTTTCCTAAATGTATGCATTTACCTATAAATGAGTTTCATGACAGTGTTAATGGTAACAATAATGTTATTACCCATAGGGATGATGCAGTAACCATGATTACATAAACACACATTTTTTATTGCTCATTTCCATTGGGTAGTGACCTGCATCTGGAACAAACAACACATTATCCTATTATGGTGTAATTTAAAACAAGAAAGACCTTATGTGTCTGCATTCTAATGGAGTTAAACATCTTCACTTTGGGAAATTACTTCCATTAATTATCATTACCTTTGCTGAGCAAAGCCTAGCAAAGCAACTATCCAGAAGGGTTGCTATCATCCATAATCATTTCCTGTATATGAAAAAAATTCACATATGCATGCAGTATCTCCATGACACACACAAAAATGTCAACACAAATTGGATGTTACAACAGATGCAGAACTGCTAGTTTTTGTTCAGAATCAAGATCTATATCTGCACAGAAGCAATTTTGACTCACAAAACAGAAATGGAAAGCAAATCTTTTTATCCCTTTTTTTTTTATTAGTAGTTGGATTTATAGTCTACCTTTTCTCCAGGATCTCAGGAAAAGCACATGGGGAGAACTTTATTTTGTCTGCAGCATAAGTTCCTGTATGAGCTAGGCTGAACCAGGAGATTGTGGTTTGCCCAAACCTACCCAATGTATTTCCACAACAGTCTAATATAACTGAACCTGGTTCCACCCAGACCTAGTCCAACATCTTATCCATTGCCTGACACTGGTTTTTCTTCTTTTCCCTTCTTCTGCGGTTTCCTGCAATCTGTGTCAGAGTATTTCCTGCCATTTGGGACAGATTTTGAAGATCCACAGTGACAAGGGAAAGGAAGGCTCATTGTAGAATCTAAAATCTACATTGGATTCTACCTAGGAGTGCCCCTGGGGAGGTTATTGGGAAGCAAATAACAAAAGCTGCATTACACTATTAGGTACAAGCTTTGCCCCTTTATATGCGCATCATGTTACACACATAAAGCTTGAAATATGACAGCATAATGTTCCTAGAATTTATTTATTTATTTTTATCCCATCTTTATTTTTGGCAATTGCACTATTATTCAAATCAGGATACATACCATGTTTCCCCAAAAATAAGACCAGGTTTTAATTTTATTTTATTTTTTGCCTCCGAAAGAGGCACCAGGTCTTATTTTCGGGAGGGGGGCTTTGATACTCAATTCTGGTACCGACAATCCCGCCCAGCCGATTCACGTCTTCTGCTGCGGAAGGAGCAGCTTCATTCTGCAGCTGCATTCCGGCTTGCATTTCCCTTTCCAGAAGGCCTCTGCAGCCGAGTACCAAGCTATAGATTCAATCCATAGCTCGGTTCTTGGCTGCAGAGGTCTTGGATCCTTAGCTTGGTTCTTGGCTGCAGTGGCCTTGTGGAAAGGC